GGAAAGGTATGAATTAAGGTATTTTAATGAGTAAGTGAAAAGATCACACTCACATGCCTCCTGCTAAGTCCTTTTATTTCAAGCTGCCCCATGAGTGGGCAAGAGGACCAAATAGATATACCCGACAAAGGGCTATCCTTTTGTAGAAATGTGTGCCAAAGTAAAGACGGAGTGCTAAGTTTGCGCTTGAACAGCTCGCTCAAGCTCCTTGTTCCATTTCCTAATTTGTCCAGTCTGGTTGTTTTGCACTTTTGTTTCTTCTTCTTTTTTTGCTTGCAACTACTTTTCATCTTGAAAAGTGCTAATTTCTATCCCAAAGGGTGAGGAGAGAATGACTATGACCTTTAAAGGATTATAGATGTCCTTAGTTTCAGAATTTCAATCAGAGTATAGAAAAGACTTCAAAGAGGTCTACTAATTGGGCTTTTGTGACCCAACAATTATAAAATACACATGTGTATGTGAATGACCAGAAGACGTGCTAGTTTCCAACAGAGGGCAGGAGTAAATAAGCTGCACTGTGAGGATTTCAATGGCTTTTGAGGGTATTAGCTTATGATGAAGACTGTTTTCACTCTTCCTTTTCTCCCACGCAAAGCTGTAGGTGCAAGCAACCGTGTATGCACCAACTGTTCTACTTCACTGGTCACAGTTTATTTGGTAAAAAGTTCAGGTAATTAAAAATTGATGTACAACTACTGTATAAGCTTGACACTACAGGCAAGCAAACAGAAGAGCTTTGCTTGGATAAAGAGCAGTAGGGACATCGCGGCTCTGTGTACAGAAAGAGCTACGGCCAGTCACGTGGAGTCAGGAAGAGGCAGAGAGGAGTGAGAGAGACTGGGATGAGGATGGCTTGGGCTCCTGTTCACTTCCTAGTTCTAGTTGATCTTGGTACCCCTTTCTCAATCCTTGGATCACAAGGAATACTATCACGTGGCTTTGGCTTCAGTATGTTGCTTAAGGGTTTGTGTGTTGAAATTTAACCCCAACTGTGAAGTATAATAAGGGTGGACACTTAATCCAACTATGGTACTTAAGGTAGGTCATGACTAAGATTAGATAAGATCATCAGGGTTAGCTCCCCACACCTGAATTATTAGTGGCTTTCTAAGATGTAAGAGAAGACACATGTGTACTGTCCCTTGCCATGTGAGCCCCTGCAGTGCCTTGGGACCCTGGCAGCCAGAAGGCCATCACTAGACCCTGGGCTCTTTTCCTTGGAATAAAATGATTGGCCAAAATAAACCTCTTTTCTTTATAAAGTTAACCAATCTCAGGTATTGTGCTATACTAATGAAACATGCTCTAAAACAGGGTATTGTAGCAATCATATAATAATCTCTCTTCTGTTTGAGCAAACGTAGATTTCTATCAATTTTGACTCTTTATTCAAATTGACTGGGACAAGGCTACTGCTATTGATTTCCAGAAGATTTCTGAATCCAGAGAGCTTGTGAGATTTGATGGTCAAAAACTTCTAAAATAAGCTTCCCTTTTTAAGTGAATTATACTCATGGCCAGTAAATAATCATGCTTAGACCACCACTCTTGTACTGAAAGCATTAGAAAAAACGCTTGTCAGCACCACATGTTTCTTTTTCCTATTTCCATTTGGCCAAACTGTTACAAGGCAGGGCTTAATAACAGGGCCCTCCTAGCAGGATCTGTAGCAAGTGCACCCACCTCTGCCTACAGCACTGCAGCCCAAACAATCTGCTCGGAATTGCTGAGAAATCAATAGGATGTGCTCATGACTCAGCCTGTTAAGTAGGAGGACTGTTATTGTTAACTCCTGCCAGAGTATGTGGGTATTTCTTTCCCTTTCTGTCTTCAGTCAACCATGAGGGGCCTTTATTTAGCACCTCTGCCCTGGAATAGGTTTTTGATCACTTAAAGCCAGAGTAGTTTGGGCCCTGAGAGTGACCGCCAGCTGATGGTACAGTATGGACAGAGAAGAGTAGCCTTTCAGAAAAGCAACGTCTGGTATCTTAACTTTCCCATAAAATTCATTTATAGAATGACTGACCTGAATTTAAAATTATTCACCCAGAGCGCAGTGGACCAGGGCTCAGTGCTCTGGGGTTGTGATCAGCGCAAGTCAAGGTAATCATTTCACCAAAGAGGATGGTGAAAACACCGGTGTGCACTCTCTTTCCTACCACGGTTGCAGTATTTTGGTCCTACTGTTTGTCTTTCTCTTGCCAAATGTTCTCAGCAATATAAACAGTCATTAAGAGCTGCTTCCTGAGAATATTGCGAAAGTGAGACAAGAAAGATCAGCCTGTTTTATAAAAAATTGTCTTGATGAATAAACTCCTCTCATTTATGAATAAGAAAACATTTAAATCTATCCTGCAGGTAAAATAAAATCTATACAACATTGGGTTGTGGCAAATCTTATTAATAATAATTTAGTTCTAAGACTTTCTGCTCTCCAAATATTTTTTCTCGTGTCCATGCTTGAAATTCATCCTGAAATTTGTCTATGTGAGGTTTTGGGTCATATAAATTAAGATTTGAGGTTATGAATCAGCAACGTAAAGGTTTTCCTAATGCTATAAAATCATGGGTCAAAAACACGACCCTTAGCAATGTAGAGGTGATGGTCACTGTTAGGACAAAAGTGAAAAAGAAGTCCTTGAATGGGCGACAACGGTCACTGATGTGCACTGAATAACGTGTGTGTACAAAGCACCTACCAACACCGTTTCACAGCAACACTTGCCTCCCTTCTTATCTCTCAGCAAATAAAGGTCAACCACACAGGCTTTATTTGGGGACAGCATTGGACACCATCTTTGTCCTCCATAGGGAATGACATGGAGGTGACATTCCAGAGGGAAAAGCCAGTTTATGTAGCACCTTGTTGGTCCTAGTAGGGTTGTGGGTGATTTTAAGTATCCATTAGTGTGTTTTGAACAAGAGAATCATATCAATTGACTAACATTTTTAAAAAGACCACTCTGACTTCTGTGATGACAAGGGACTGTAGAGATAAAAGTTGAGTGAAGGGGGTTAATACAGTTATAAAAGTGGGAGGCAGCAGATTTAAATGATAAATGAAGATGGGGAGACATGATAAGATTCTGGACAGGAATAAGCTTGGTACCGTGATTTATAAGGCTGAAAGAAGTTAATTAATATGCATCTAGTAGGTTGCGGAGGTTGGAGACAAAACAATACCCAGAGCTGTCAACTACTTCACTGTAATATTAAAGGGAGTTTTTATGTGAATTATTAAGACTTAGACTTCAGAAATATAAATCAACCTTTATGTGTAGAATTACATTTGTTATGTTGGAAGTAGCCAACCCCAAATTTTATACAGTAATTAGCAATATTAGCAAGTGGCTACAAAGGACTTATCAAGCATTTTTATTCTTATTATCCTATTCAGTTTAATGAAATTGGCATGATTATGGGATATCAAAGGTCAACACATTAGTAACAACATTACGAATAAAAATATCTACTTAAATTGCCACATTTTGAATCACTGAATGAATCTGCACATTTACCAATTGCTGTTTTCTCATTTTAGGTAGATACTGTGTCTGCCTTGTTTTCTAAAATCAGTCTCCAGTGTGCATACATGGATTCCAAAAAATATTGTTGGAATGAATGCAAGTTCCATTTATGTGCAAACAAATTCTAGAATTAACTGTGCAAAGCAATTTATAAATTAACTGTAGAAAACAATTCATAAAGAATCTCTTTTTCTTAACTTTTCCCTTGATATTCTAAAAGAGTGAAGGAAATTAACATGGGCCCCCCAAAAGCATTTTTAAGTATCTTAAATTTCAAAACTAGTATTTCCAGTGTATTTTGGTAAAGTCAGTATTTCATCTACGGGGAAATAACACAGATTTCAATTACCATGTTATAGCAAAACAGTAAAAATGATGGTTCCCATTAGGTCAGCAAGATTTTACAAGCCAATTAAAAAAAAAGTTTCTAATGGAAAACACAATATATGCAAGCAGGACTGGTACGTTATTATATATGAGGAACTCAAGATTTCTTATGCACAAATTCTAAATGTTTTTGCAAGTGATGTTTAAACCTTTTTAGCATTAAATATATAAACTGCTGAAAGTAATTTAGAAACCATAGTAAGCACCAGAATATAAAAATATTCAAATGAATCACCTTTTTATAGTTAGAACAAGCCAACCAGATCCTCATGTACCAATTTAGAGGGATATAAATGTAATGGTAGGTGAAGGCAAGCTGCAGGAGAACATCCTCAGCCAGATATATATTTATGTGTACTTTTAAGATGTAAATAACCCTATGCTATTTGCTTCATACACATCACACACATAGTAGGAGACACAGAGAAAACATCGTGACATTTCTTAGGAAGAAAGGAGGACAGTGAAACAGCAAGAAAAGCTTTTCTTCTTTCCTTCCACGACAGTTCATTTCTTTAGGTAAGATTTTGATACAGCTGCGTATCAGCATTTGTTTAATCCATATGGCAGGTACTTGGATATTTAGTATAATTTTGAAAACATTTTGCTTTGAAACTTTATAAATTTTCTTGCTTAAAACTAAAGTAATGAAATAATAAAAGCAATAAACTAACTGCTGTCTGCCCCGTACCCCTAATACATAAAATGGCATGATCCCGGTATTTACCTTACAGTCTCATAGTTTTTGTAAAAAATAAACTAATTTATGTAAAGTCAAACACACAGGAGCTTGTCTGGCAAGTGGAAGGTGCTGAGAAAATATCACTGGTGTTAACCACAGCAAGAAGTACAGGCTTGGTGTAACCTTCCTTTCACAGACACATCTTTGCATTCTTTAGTATTGTCAGCCCGAGCACCGGCAATAAATGCAACCTTAATAATTCTGAATCTGTTTGCCGTACAACTCATGTATTTCTCCTTTACCAAAATGAATTGGTATTTACTTAAGAATTAAAAAAAAAAGAGCAAAGAGCTATTTTTCACAATTGTGGGTAACTCAAAGTAGAGAAGGTACGGTCTTACCTATCTAAGGAAGTGGTAAAATAGTAAAGTTCTTTATGTTGTGTTCTCAAAGGGTCAGTAATATGTTCTGGCTTCTTTCTGTAAAAAATCAGAAAGTTAATAATACCATTTCAGATCCACACACACTGATTACATCATGGAGCTCATTAGCTCTTTACAAACTTTAACTCCTAGCTTTTTATACTGGGTAACTGACACCAAGGTGGTATCATAATGGTTCTTATAGTCCTCAAGTGTTGAGGATTTAGAATCTGCTAGGCACTATCTCAGAGGAATGGGATAGAGTAGTCAAAATGCTAACTGCATGCTTTTTATCTTTTTTCTTGCTTCATTCCAATAGTGCTTCACCAGTATTATATCCAAGGAAGAGTACATTTTAAAATTGTTTTCAGCTAATAAATAGTAGGCAATCATAGTCTCTCCCAAAAGAATAAATCCATTCTAGTAAATTGTTAATTATATCCAATAAACTTTAAAAGTCTGGGCCTCGGGCCAGTCTGCACTGACTTTCCCCCAGCACAGGATGGAGAGAGGAATTTTTTTGACAACTAATTAAATGTTCTCTATGAAGTACTAAACTTATTTTGACATTCAAAATCCTACAAGACATTCTGGATTGTTATTCTGCTTAGAAAGGCCACCTAAAACAATATAGAAAAAATCTACTGATATGGTACCTAGAATAAACAGAATTATTCAGAAGGCACAGGCTTCTTTTCTATCCCAAAAAAACATTCAGGTATAATGCAACGAATACTGACTGGGCCAGGTCCTATATTAAGTGTTTTTATGTGTATTAGCTCATTTAATCTATGAGCAGTCACACACAATAAACAAGTCTGTTAACAAATATTAAAGGCAGAAAGACTTGACATTAAAATAAGCATAAAGAAAATCTGAATTCCCTGTAATAACTTGATAATTATTTTATCAAAAAGATTTGACTGCTCAAATCTATGCATACAGATTTTTTTTCCTTTAATCCAGTTCCCTGGTTCTCAAATTTAAAATATACACAACACTGTCATAAGTAACTTAAGAAGATTTAAAGAACTTTTAGGAATAGTTTGATCAGGCAAATTAAACTTTGTACAGTGATTTTAGGGTAAATATGAAATGTTAGACCACTGCTGGACCTTGGTCAGTTGGAAAGAGAATTGAGTATTTAATAAACAAATGCTGTATATAATAACATGGGTTCTTTCTCTTTAAATTCTGTATTTTCTGTAAACACCTTATAGGGCATTTTTAGGCCATTTATTGATTTTCAAGCAAGCATGCCTGCATGTATTAAACTGCAATCACACAGTGAGCAAGTGTACATGTGTCTAATAAAAATATGAGAACAAAAAGTAATTTTGTAGAGTAGGGGTCAACAAACTCTGATCCACAGGCCAGAGGATCCCATTCCTGCCACTTTCCTAATTATAGTGTCAGTAGCTGCCCATTCCTTTCCGTGCGTCTGGGCAGGTTTTATACCGTAATGCCAGAACTGTGTGTACTGTCACAGAGACTCTGAGTTCAGAATGCTTCCTGTCTGGACCTTTTGCTGAGTGTTAGCTAACATACCTGATGTCATTTGATTAATATTAAAAACAGTCCTTAAAAATCCCTCTTTTAATCTTACCCAAATCAACTCAGTAGTTATGTTAGGGAAAGTGAAATTCCAGCTTCAAACAAAAGCCAACTGCATGCCCTCCCCCAAACTGGGAAATTATTGGCCTAAGGATAAGATGATGATTAGATGATTAGAAAACTCAGTGTACCCAGTAGCTACAAGTCATAAAGAATACCTATTTATTCTATGTCTTGACTTCCATGGGTTTTCTTCTTTGTTATAAAAGAAAAATTACTACTTTTTCCCTAGGGATTATTTTCTGAGAGAGATAAATGCCATCTGGGATTTATTTCTAAAATTACAAACTATTTCATAAGGCACATAGAACTGAATTGCTATTTTCAATTAACACTGCAGTTAGAAGCGATAATTTTCAACACACCTTAAAAAGATTAAATTACATTAGCATAGCTACTGTTATGAACATCATGACACAGTGTTAGTATTAGATATGTTGTTTAATACTATTAACCAACATTTATATAGCATTTTTAGTGTGCCAGTGCTCCTACATGTGAATTGACTTATTCCTTACCATCACCCTTTATTATTATCCCTACTTACAGATAGGGAAACAGGCAAGACTAGTGTGCGTGTCCTCCCCAGCATCATGCCGCTGGAAAGGGCCAACCCTTTTAACCATAAGCTGTACCAGCTCTAAACAGGCACTGAGGTTTAAGTCTTTGACTGGCTTTAAGTCCTCGACTCTGGGTAAAGATAATTTTAAGTATAAAAGCTCATGGCTTTTCTGAGTGAGTTTACTGCACTAAGGACAACTTTCTATGTATTAGGAATACCATACTATGCATATGTATTATTCAGCATATTCGGCTTCTTGAACAGATTGAAATTTACTCCTCTGTCTTTCTATTACTTTTCCTATTATCTCTGTCAGGTTGGCTTATGGAGCTTTCCAGAAGCTGTTAGGACCAGGTATGAATACTGTTGAGAATTATGAATGGAAACCCCTGACAAAGCCAATCTGAGAATAATGACATCTAACCACTAGGCTGCACAGGATAGCGAACAGGGTATACATGGTATGTTGGCACCACAAAGTAAGGTAAGTAAATCGTCTGAAAAGGAACCCTAGATAAATAAACATATGTTTGGCCATAAACCAAGTTCGCTTTTCTCAGCTGCTTACTCAGATAAATGGACATTCTTGCAGTGCACTGAGGCTGACAGAAATACGTGTTTGGCTGTAAGCATATTTATATGCATGTTATGTGCCACCTATAGCACTGGAGTTAGAATGATAAATTAGTGCAAGCTTTCAGACTCTCCTAAAAAAAAAAAAAAAAAAAGTAAAAGTGTGGTTTTCTCACCTGATGTTAGAATTTATGTTTTCTTAAATAACAACATCATCAAAATAAGATCTGGGGATTTTTTTTTTTTTTTTGCCAGAATATACTCTACATTTTCTTTCAAAACACATTTTAGCCCAAGTATTGTTTAGTTATTTAATTTCATGTTTTGATATGCTTTGTTAGATAAGCAAAACACTGAAGTGCTTGGAGCTGCTGGGAGCCTGAATAGTGATTTTAAAGGCTCAGCATAACCTCAGTGACTAGCGTTTGGTTATTCAGTCAGCTCTCAAATAAGCATTAACATTATTCTCCACCTCATCTAACAATTAGCTTTATGAGAGCTTGAATGGTTCATGTAATTCAGTGCATTTGTCCAGAATGACAGATTTCAGCTATTGGGGGAATTGCCGATACATGTGGGAACATATCTGTTCTCCAAACAGTCATTAGACAGAAGAGCACCGAGACAACATGAAGTCATTCAGCCTAAATGCCACTAAGTCATTCTAACCCCTGGTATGTTTAAAATCCATTCATTGTGAAGAGTGGAAGAAACTTTACAGTGAACTGAAGCCACTGGGAGTTGAACAGGTTGGAGAACGATCTCTTTTGGAGGTATTGTGAAAATTCCTTTTAGAAGAGCATCATGTTTTTGGGGAAGGAAATTTGTTTTGAATATACACATAAAAATATTAAGACCTGTTAACAAAATCCCTGTTAAAAAACATAAGGCCTTCAGTTGAGCAGAGACTCTAGGTAAGGAAATGATAATAACATTCTCTTCACTGGGATAAACACCCAATAGCAGCAATTTAGATATGGAGAGTCTTACTTTGGCTAGTGTTGTTCAGCGGTCAGTCCATAGTCAGCAGGCTCCAAGGCAGAAGTGCCATGGAGGTTGGGCCTGCCTTGGAGGAAAGCTGCTCAGATTATGGTGGCCAGGAAGCAGAGGGTGAAAGGAAGAACAGGGAAGGAGATGCATTCTACCAGGACACACCCCCAGTGACCCACCTCTTTTGACCAGGTCCCCCCACCTAACATCACATTTAGGTAGAACGTCCCCATGATTCAATCACCCTTCAAAAGCTTTATCTTTGCGAACATGATGCTTTGAGGTAATGTCCGGATATAAACCATAAGCCCCTCTCCTGCGCAGTGACTGAATCTAACTCAGAGCCCTTGGGATTACAGAAGAGAAAAAGGCAGGGCTGAACACTGGCTCTTAATGTGGTGTACATCACTTCCTCTCTCAGCCTGTTACATTGAATGTGACTTCGCTTCAATGCATAAGGGGCTATTTGGAGAGAAGTAAATGTCTCTCCCAAGGGTGGATAAGGCAGGGGGAGACTGGTGCAGTGGCTACTTTAGATTATTTTCTTCTTGAAAAGACATAATACCCAGTGCTATTAGCTTCAGACTTATCTTTAATTTTTACCATATGATGACTCTTATAAAGATAAATATTTTATTTTATAAAAAAATATGAATTTGCACTGTGATATGCAGAACTGTGGACAGCGATGGAGCACATGCATCAGGATTGTTGTTCACTTTTATATTACATTTCTACTTTCTGCTCAGAATCAGGATATCTCTGAAGAATTACAACATGTCTTTGCTTGGCAGAGTCATTTGTTCTTTTATTTCTAATTTTCATACAGACACCATCCTCATTTTTACTTCATCAGCTATTTTCATTTTTTATTTTAAAGATTGTTTATATTTTTAAAATTAATTTTATTGGTATATTTTAAGATACATAATGATCACATTCATCAGAGAATTTATACTTGTACATAATATGTCTTTCTTTTTTTTTTGTTTTTTGGTCTTTTTGAGACAGGGTCTCACTATGAGGTTCAGGCTGACCTTGAGCTCACTTTGTAGCCCATGCTGGTCTTGAACTCACAATGATCCTCCTGCCTCAGCCTCCCAAGTGCTGGTATTACAGGCATGTGCCATCACACCCAACCATAATATATCTTGATTTTTCTTTTTTCCCCTTTCCTTCTCCTCCTTTCAATCCTGCTTTCCATCCTTATTTACAAAGGCTTTGTTTTTATTTTCCCCTTCTATTCTCTTTTTCCTTTTCCATCCCTCTTTTGTTCCCTTCCCATTTAAACATTTTCTTCCTCTTTTCCAATATCTAT